GAGGATGACAAAGAGAAGACAGAAAAAACAGGTGGTAGAGGAGGAGGACGACGACGAGGGGGAGGAGGACGGGGAGGAGGAGGAGGAGGAGGAAGAGAAGGAGAGGGAAGAGGGGCAGGAGGAGCAACTAGGAGGAGGCATTGCAGGATGGCGCAGGGTGCGGGGACGAGGAGGGGGGAGGGGCTCCGACTCGGGGTCCTGCCCCGCCTCGCCGTCGGAAGCACACGGGGTGGATAGCCAAGGGGCGGGAATCACACGCATTCACCGGGAAGCCTCGGCGAAGTCATGGGCAACGTGAGCCCCTGGCTGCGTGGCCGTCGTTGATCTCCTCCTCCTCGTCCTCCTCGTCGCCGTCCTCCTCCTTACCCGCCCGAAGATTGAAGACGGCGCTGGCGACTACGACCTCGAGGACGACGACGACGGCCCACGACGGCCCAAGAGCGTGAGTGCCCCCCCCCCCCTGGTCTGTGTCTGCCCCTTGTGGCAGCGGGCCTCGCCCCTGGGGCAGAATTGGCGGCGGTTAATGGAGGGCGGCGGGTCGGGGGCGGAGTGGGGGAGCGGCTTCGCCTGTCGCCCCGGGCACGGACGGAGGTTCTGGAGGTTTCGGGAGGGCAAAACGGAGGAGGAGGTGGAAGAGGAGGAGGAAGAGAAGGAGGAGGAGGAGGAGGAGGAGGAGGAGGAGGAGGAGGAGGAGGAGGAGGAGGAGGAGGAGATGGAGGATTCGAGCAGATGCTCCTGCTTCGGCGCCCTGGATTCAAGAACTTCGGGAGGAGGCCAAGGAGGATAAGGACGTGGAGGCTGGCTGGACGGAGGAGGACGTGATCAAAGCCATCAAAAGCTTCCCAGGGCATTCGGCCATGGGTATGGACTGGTGGATAGTTCGCGATTTTATCAGGCTCTCAGGCCCAGGGGTTACCGAGCACACCGACCTTTTGAATTCAATCGAGAGAACCCAGACCACTCCACGGTCGGCAAGAGAAGGTGCCTCAAGGTCCGCAGGGCCAGGTAGCGTCTTGGGTTTAGGAGGCACAAGAACATCGAGAGGCTCCTCAGGGCCACCAAGAGCGCGCACCGCCTTTATCGTAAAGGCGCTCAGCCGCAGCTCCATTGGGGACTCGAAGGTCACGTGATTTTCCCCACGGAGCTCAGCCAGCACAGAAGAGCAGCAGGAGCCGCACTCGGGACCAGCAAGGCAGGAAGCTGTCTCAGTGCAAGCCTCCACCAGTTCAAGCTGCCGCCAGAGGCGTTGGACCCCGCCATGTTTCACAGGGTCAAGCCGTTCGAAAGGTGGTTCGAGCCCGTCGCCACCAACCGCACCGCCGCAGTGGCATCGCGGCCGCGTGGCCCAAGGTAGTTGCCAAGCTTTGTCGGCCCATGAGATGAGACAACGTTGTCAATCACCTCAGCGCGGACGTGGGGACCCTCCTGGACCTCGGGTGGAGCCCAGATTCGGCCTGGTCCTGGTCCAACCCTGCCGGCGAGGCTTCCCCGTGGGACTCGACAAGTTTGAGGAGCAGGACTGTCTGTTCTGCAAGTTCCAACAGTTTCTTCACGGGGTGCATGGGTTTGGAGCGAAGATTTGACGCTCCTGGGCACCTTCAAGGGGAATGTCGTGGGGCTTCAAACTATAAATCGAGCTGAGCTCAAATGGGCCATAGAGCTCCTCAGGCAGACCAGAGGGGACCTCTCAGTGGTCATCGATTATACGCATCTTATTCGGAGGCATTTGAAGGGGCCCCGTAGGAAGATGCCCTCCAATCGTAGGCTCTGGCTAACATGCTGGGGAGTCTTGGGCTCGCAGGCAGGCCAGGTTCGGTACCTCAAGGTCAAGTCTCATGCCACTGCCCCTGAAGTACGGGCCCGTTTTCCAACCTGGGCTCTCCATGTAAATGACACTCCTCCTCTTCCTCCTCCTCCTCCTCCTCCTCCTCCTCCTCCTCCTCCTCCTCCTCCTCCTAGGCCTATGAATCAGCGAGCGAGGCTGCGGCCCAAGAGCCGCCATCCCCCAGGAGCTGGTGCAGCGCAGACTTGCAATGGACACTCTTGCGGAACAGATCCGTGCGAGGTTGGCCGCAGCTCAGAGGATGCGCTAAACACATGCTCCCGTCAACGAGGCTCCCGCCGCGACAAGGCTTCCCAGCACCTTTAACCTCGATCTCCCTCTGGCCAGAACTCCAGGGGGACCAACTGGTTCGCGCCAGGTGCCAGAAGAGGACCCACGGGAGGTCCGCGGCACGCTGGCGTCGTTCCCTTTGTTCGGCCCCGCCCCCCCCGCCGGGCGTCCGATGGAGTTTCACGGCCAGTGGGGATCACCAGCGTAGAAGATGGAAGCCCAACCATCCACCCCAGCCGCCGACCCCATCTTTCGGTCTTCCGTGGGGTCCTCTGGTGTCGACGGTGTGGGTGTTGGCGGGTTCGGGCCTCCAAGAAAGTCAAGGAAGCCTGTGCGCCCCCTCGGAAGAGTCAGAGTGGTGGGCACAAAGCCTTTTTGCAGCTCGCAAAGGAGCAGCTCCCGCCGGGCCTCAAAGAATGGCCCCAGGGAGGCTCGTGAGCACCAATAGTCCCCCTAGCGTGTGGGCTCGAGATTGTCCGATGGGGCGCGCGCGTGCGCGGAGGAGGAGGAGGCAGGGGAGGAGGAGGAGGAGGAGGAGGAGGAGGAGGAGGAGGAGGAGGAGGAGGAGGAGGAGGAGGAGGAGGAGGAGGAGGAGGAGGAGGAGGAGGAGGAGGGGGAGGAGGCGGAGGTGGAGGAAGAGGAGGAAGAGGAGGACCACCCCCCCTCGAGCACCGAGCGCATGCGGCTCTTTGTCCCAGCTCCGCGCGGTCGGCCCCTGCAGTCGGTCCCAACACGAGCGCGCGCGCTGCGCCATGGGCTCCAGGGCTCCGCGGCCCAGGGAAGGGCGTGGAAACCCTCCGCTCTCCCAGGGAGGAGGCAAGCAAGTCTGCCCCTCCTTCCTCCTCCTTTTCCTCTCCTCCTCCTCCTCCTCCTCCTCTCCTCCTCCCCCTCCTCCTCCTCCTCCTCCTCCTCCTCCCCCTCCTCCTCCATTCCTTTCCCTTATGGATAACTCCTCCCTGTCGCACCCCGAGGCCGGTCGAAAGGGCGGGCCGTGCGTTTCGCCTGACACTTCCTCACCATTTATGGACCTTGAGTTCAAACACTCGCAGCGGTTTCACAGATGGAGGGCGGGTGGTTTTCAACATGTGGTTCTCGCGTTGGCACCGCGCGCAATCGTGTTAAACGTGACAAGAATTTCACGGATTGGAGGCGGTTGGTTTTCAGCATGTGCTTCTCGCCTTGACACCACGCACATTCGTTCAACACATGTGCTAGAGCTTCATGAGTTGAGGGCAGGCCGTTTTCAAAATGTGGCGCTCGCCTTAGCGCCGCGCACATTCGTTGACAAACATTGCAAGAGCTTCACGGATTGAGGGCGAGTGGTTTTCAAACTGTGGCTCTCGCCTTAGCGCCGCGCGCATTCCTTTTTGATGCAACGACTTCGCGGATTGAGGGTGGGTGGTTTTCAGCATGTGGCACTCGCCTTCGCGCCGCGCACATTCGTTCTAAATTGCAGGAGTTCCACGGGTGCGCATAAGTTCACATTGCAAAGCTGGTGTTTTGGATCGATTCAAGACTGTCAGGGCGCAACAGCGACGTTGATTCGCGGTTGTGACGTCATGGAAATGGTGCTCTAGCACGATTATGACCGTCAAGACGTATCAGTCAGGTTGACTCGTGGTGTTAGTCCAGAAAATGGTGTTCTGGCACGCGTCAAGATTTTCACACGGTTGTCCCCCAACGGCGCACTTCCTTCAGTGGAAATGAATCCTTGTAGAGGCCTATGAAGAGAGAGCTTGGAGGGAGGGTGCATTCCAACATCATCGATGAGTCTTGGGTTTGCACTGATCCTCCTCCTCGTCCTCCTCCTCATCTCCTCATATTCTCGTCCTCATCTCCCTACAGGCAGGTCTGCCCCTCCGCCGCCGGGGGGGCCCAACGCAGATCCAAGAAGTCCACGCGGAGCTCCGAAACTTTCTGCTCATGCCACGTTTTGTTTCTCGAGCCAGGATCCCCGATTGCGGAGACCCTGAGAAGAACTCATCCTCCGCCTCCCCTCCGGCGCCGCCGGCCGGGACCCGCCGCGGCGGCGCCCTCCTCCGCGGCGGGGGCCGCCTCCGCGGCGGGGGCCTCCTCCGCTCCTCCTCCTCCTCCTCCTCCTCCTCCGCCTCCGTCGGGGCTGCGCCGCCCGCGTCTTCCTTCAGTCTCAGCCTCGACGCGGAGCCCTGTCTGCGCTGCTGGAAGCAGCTCTCCGTATTTCCCAGCAGGTGCCGGGTGAAGCTGCCCTGGAGGCCCATGCGGTGAGGCCACGGAGGTCACACCGTTCCTCTTCCCCCCATCCCTCCCTCCCTGCTTCTACCTCGCGGCTGCTTGGTGGGACCCCTGCTCTCCAGGGCTCGGGGCCTGCTCGGAGCTGACGCGCGTCGCCCCCCCCCCCCCCCCCCCCCCCAAAGGCGGCTGCGGCCACGTGGTGCGAGCCGGTGCTTGACATGGACAACCACATACGATATATAGCAGGCACGCACGGCAAGACATATTGCCATAGAGAGAGATTGGGCCACCTTCTTCGCCGACCTTTGAGGGTCCTGAAGTGTCCTGGAGCTTCTGCGGGTCTCTGGGGCTTTGGGGGGTACGAAATGTCCGCGGGGCACCTGCTGGCCGGCCGATGTCTGATTTGATGCGTCTACTGCATGTATACCTCGCGCCTCATCCCCGAGCCTGCAACGCTCAACAACTGTTCTCGCTCGTTCCGCTCTCTTTTGCGGATCGCTTTCACGCTTGGGGAGCAGGATGAGGATGACAAACTAATGGGAGGAATGGGGAAGAAGGGGGCGGGAGGCTGGACGAGGAGGACGGAGACCGAGGAGGAGAGAGCACCTCATCAACTCGCTTGCTACTTCCCCTCGGTCTCAATTGGCGCCGTTGGCGCGGCAAACAAACGCACCTCTCAGTTGTCGGAGTTGATGGAGCCGCAGCATGACATGAACTCGTCCTGCACAGAAGGGTTTATTAGCGGATCGACTCGCGGATCGTCTGGCGTTGCGCGCAAAACCGCTCGTGCCAGCGGTGAAACCTCTTGGAATGACCCTGCGCGATGCAGCAATTGTTGTCTCGCTTCTGAAGAAAGGTGCCCAGCAAGAAGACAAGCAACACCGAAGGTGCATGCGCAGGGCTAGCTAAGCGGTATCACGAGGGTGTACGATGCCATGCTATGCGGTGCATTACTTTGCGCAAGGCAATGCACATCAAGTTTATGCACGGCTGTGCAGTGCGAAGTCGTGGGCAGCACTGCGATGCAACCAACAGCGTCCCCCGACACACCAAACAGCGTCAGCCAGCGTGGACCAAAACAGTGTGTTTTCAGCAATCCATGTTGTACAATCTATGTGGGGCAATCCATGTTGTGCGACCTATGGGGTGCAATCTCGGTGCTGCAATCGATGTAGTGCAATTCGTGTTGTACAATCTATGTGGTGAACTTCCCTTCCCGAACTTGAAGCTGTCAACTCCACTGCTCGCGCAATCATCCCACCCACCCACCCGCAACTTTGTTTGCAAAACCCATGCAGGACCGAGCACAGATATCGCTCCGGGGTCGTCTTGGAGCCCTCGGGGGCGTCTCAAGAGCGCCCCAAGAAGGCCGGAGAAGCAAGACGGCCGACGACGACGACGACGACGACGGCGGCGACGACGACGACGCCGACGTCGACGACGACGAAGACGACGACGCCGACGCCGACGACGACGACTAAGACGACGACGACGTCGCCAACGAAGACGACGACGAGGGAGGAGGGAGGACGACGACGGCGACAACGACGACAACGACGACAACGACGACAACGACGAGGGAGGAGGGAGGACGGCGACGACGCGAACGACGAAGAAGAGGAATGACGGCGACGCCGACGACGACAACGACGAGGGAGGAGGGAAGACGACGACGAGACGACGACGACAACGACGACGACGGCGACGAAATAGGAGGGACGACGACGAGACGCCGACGACGGACGACGACGACGACGACGACGAGGGAGGAGGAGGAAGGACGACCGCGGCGACAACGACGACGACGAACACGAGGAAAGCCTGAGGAAAGACACAGGACGACGTAGGCGACGACGACGACGACGCGGGAGGAGGGAGGACGGCGACGACGACGACGACGACGCTGCAAGAGCGCGCGCGCACGCTTTTGTTGAAAATCCGTGTTGCGAAACCTTGTGATTTGGTAGGTTTTTTGTTGGACGCGCGATTTTGAAATCCTTCCGAAACCGATGGGTTTTGAAGGATTTCGGCGTACGCGCGCGACGACGCGCGCGTCTGCACTTCGTCCCATTTTTTGCAGGGGATTCTCGCAACGGCACACGCGCAAGGGCGTTCAACAACTTTCGACATCCGCGCGCGCGACGCCCGTTTGGTAGCATTTTGTGAGAATCTTGAAAACCAATGGTTTTCTCAAGATTTCGCAAGAGCTCGCGCGTAAGCTTTTTTAGCAAATGAGTGTTACGAAACCCTGTGTTTTTGCATTTTTTTTGGAAACTCGATTGCGAAATCCTTCCGGCACGGAAGGTTTTTGAAGGATTTCGGCATGCGCGCGCGACGACGCGCGCGTGTACACTTCACCCAATTTTTTGCAAGGGATTCGCGAACAAGTGTTATGTTAGAACCAAAAAAATCACCGCAACATGTTTTTTACAAAGGAAACTCAGGAGGGGGGAACCCGGTTGGCCTGGGACATTGTGATTTCATATTTAGGATGGACATGTGGTCAGAATCATATGTGATTTACATACCCGAAGGGGGGGGCGATAACTCCGGGGGGGGTAGAGTCTGTTCTCTTTTTAATCACTTGCCGAACTTGAAGTTGTCAACTCCACTACTCGCGCAATCATCCCACCCACCCACCCGCAACTTGGTTTGCAAAACCCATGCGGGACCGAGCACAAATATCGCTCTGGGGTCGTCTTGGAGCCCTCGGGGGCGTCTCAAGAACGCCCCAAGAAGGCCGGAGAAGCAAGACGGCCGACGACGACGACAACGACGACGGCGGCGACGACGCCGACGCCGACGCCGACGCCGACGACGACGTCGCCATCGAAGACGACGACGAGGGAGGAGGGAGGACGACGACGGCGACAACGACGACAACGACAACAACGACGACAACGAGGGAGGAGGGAGGACGGCGACGACGCGAACGACGAAGAAGGAGGAAGGACGGCGACGCCGACGACGACAACGACGAGGGAGGAGGGAAGACGACGACGAGACGACGACGTCGACGACGTCGACGACGGCGACGAAATAGGAGGGACGACGACGAGACGCCGACGACGGACGACGACGACGACGAGGGAGGAGGAGGAAGGGCGACCACGGCGACAACGACGACGGAAACGACCACGACGCCAAAGAGGACGACGACGACGACGAACACAAGGAAAGACACAGGACGACGTAGGCGACGACGACGACGCGGGAGGAGGGAGGACGGCGACGACGACGACGACGACGCTGCAAGAGCGCGCGCGCACGCTTTTGTTGAAAATCCGTGTTGCGAAACCTTGTGCTTTTGTAGGTTTTTTGGACGCGCGATTTTGAAATCCTTCCGAAACCGATGGGTTGTGAAGGAATTCGGCGTACACGCGCGACGACGCGCGCGTCTGCACTTCGTCGCATCTTTTGCAGGGGATTTTCGCGACGGCACACGCGCAAGGGCGTTCGACAGATTTCGACATGCGCGCGCACGCGACGCCCGTTTGGCAGCATGTTGTGAGAATCTTGGAAAACCAACGGTTTTCTTAAGATTTCGCAAGAGCTCGCGCGCAAGCTTTTTTAGCAAATCAGTGTTACGAAACCCTGTGTTTTTGTATGTTTTTTGGAATCTCGGTTGCGAAATCCTTCCGGCACGGAAGGTTTTTGGAAGGATTTCGGCATGCGCGCGCGACGACGCGCGCGTGCGCACTTCGTTATATTTTTTGCAAGGGATTCGTTAAAAAGTGATATGTTAGAACAAAAAATGTCACCGCATAGTGTTTTTTACAAGGGAACCTCAGGGGGGGGGATACCGGTTGGCCTGGGAAATTGTGATTTCATATTTAAGATGGACATGTGGTCAGGATCATCTGTGATTTACATACCCGAAAGGGGGGGCGATAACTCCGGGGGGGTGGTAGTCTGTTCTTTTTTAGAAAGGAGAATCAATCACTTGCCGAACTTGAAGTTGTCAACTCCACTGCTCGCGCAATCATCCCACCCACCCACCCGCAACTTGGTTTGCAAAACCCGCGACCGAGCACAAATATCGCTCTGGGGTCGTCTTGGAGCCCTCGGGGGCGTCTCAAGAGCGCCCCAAGAAGGCCGGAGAAGCAAGACGGCCGACGACGACGACGACGACGACGACGACGACGACGACGACGACGACGACGCCGACGTCGACGACGACGAAGACGACGACGCCGACGCCGACGACGACGACGAAGACGACGACGACGTCGCCAACGAAGACGACGACGAGGGAGGAGGGAGGACGACGACGGCGACAACGACGACAACGACGACAACGACGACAACGAGGGAGGAGGGAGGACGGCGACGACGCGAACGACGAAGAAGGAGGAAGAACGGCGACGCCGACGACGACAACGACGAGGGAGGAAGGGAAGACGACGACGAGACGACGACGACAACGACGACGACGACGGCGACGAAGTAGGAGGGACGACGACGAGACGCCGACGACGGACGACGACGACGACGACGACGGAGGAGGAGGAAGTACGACCACGGCGACAACGACGACGGAAACGACCACGACGCCACAGATGACGACGACGACGACGAACACGAGGAAAGACACAGGACGACGTAGGCGACGACGACGACGGGAGCAGGGAGGACGGCGACGACGACGACGACGACGCTGCAAGAGCTCGCGCGCACGTTCTTGTTGAACATCCATGTTGCGAAACCTTGTGTTTTTGTAGGTTTTTTGGACAGACGATTTTGAAATCCTCCCGAAACCGATGGGTATTGAAGGATTTCGGCATACGCGCGCGACGACGCGTGCGTCTGCACTTCGCTCAGTTTTTTGCAGAGGATTCTCGCGACGGCACACGAGCAAGGGCGTTCGACAGATTTCGACATGCGCGCGCGCGAAGCCCGTTTGGTAGCATTTTGTGAACATCTTGAGAAACCGATGGTTTTCTTAAGATTTAGCAAGAGCTCGCGCGTAAGCTTTTTTAGCAAATCAGTGTTGCGAAACCCTGTGTTTTTGTATGTGTGTTTGGAAATTCATTTGCGAAATCCTTCCGAACCCGGAGGTTTGGGAAGGATTTCGGCATGCGCGCGCGACGACGCGCGCGTGTGCACTTCGTCCCATGTTTGGCAAGGGATTCGCGAAAAAGTAATATGCTCGAATAACAAATGTCCCCGCGTATTTTTTTTTACCAGGGGACCTCAGGGGGGCCGATACCGGTTCCATTTTGACATTGTAGATTCATATATAGGATGGACATGTGGTCAGAATCATATATGACTTACATACCCTAAAGGGGGGCGGATAACGCCGGGGGGGGGGGTAGAGTCTATTGTCTTTTTAGAAAGGAGAATCTATGCGAGGCGGCGACGGGGCGGCGACGGCGACCACACAGCCGCCAGACCGACGGGCAAGCCCAGACGACGAGCGGCGACCAAGCGGCGACAGGGCGGCGACGGCGACCACATAGCCGCCAGACCGACGGGCCGGCCCAATTAAAGCAAGCCCTAAATGCAAGCACAGTTTGGGAGACATTGACAGCAACATGACGCAAACCATTTCAATGAATAACAAGACAACGCGATGCTGTGCGCAACAGTTCAAATCAACGCGATGCAACGCGATATAGGACAGTGCGAAGCAATACGCTGCCCGAACACGGCGAACCAATGCAAGCCTCCAAGCGTTTCTGTGCAATGCAAAGCGAATCTACAAATGAAAATGCCAAGCGTTGCAATCGAGTGAAATAGTTGAACGCAATGCGATGGTTTGCAAACCAATGGGAGTACAACGTGCTTCAATGCAACAACAAGGGCCTCTTGGGGGAGATCCCGTCTTCCCTCGTTTTATGCTTATCCTGATGTTGCTCCTCGTCCTCCTTCTTCTCTCTATGTATCTGTATATAATTATATACGTATCTATACGGTGCCAGTTTACGTCTACATTTGAAAGTCAGTGTATAGATGTGTACGCATCTTTGCATACTCGTGTATGCAGAAAGAGAGGCATATGTATGTGTACATATATATATATGTATGGAGAGACAGAGGGGGAGAGAGAGGGAGGGAGATAATGAGAGGGGAGAGGGAAAGAGGGAAAGAGAGAGAGAGAGAGACAGACAGAGCAAGTGAGAGGAGAGAGATACAGAGAGAGAGAGAGAGAGGGAGAAGAAGAGAGAGACAGAGACAGAAAGAGAGAGAGAGAGAGAGACAACAACAAAAACATACAGTCCCCCCCACACACACACCACCCACTTCGCACGACCACAGCCAGCGACGATCCGCATCAGAGGGAAGGGCGCCCTGGTGGAAACAGGTCCTGGACCCCGCGGCCCACCCTGGGATCAGTCTGCCACCCGGGGGCCCAGGGTGCAACCCGCACCAAGGGCCCGAAAGCGGCGGAGCACCTCGCGGACCCGTTCCCGTTCCCCCTGGGGCACCTCAACGGCGGGACGCACCACCACGACGACGACGACGACGACGACGACGACGACGACGACGACGACGACGACGACGACGACGACGACGACGGCGGCGGCGGCGGCGGCGGCGGCGGCGGCGGCATCGCCGGGCGCCGCTCCTCGCATGGCTCCGCGCCCGCGATCTCGAAGCTGTGCAGGCTCCTCGGCCGACTGCCGGGCGCGGGGCTCGGTCGGCCAGGCCGAGGCGCCCGCTGGCTGTGGGGGTCGGTGCGCCCCCTGCTGGAGGAGGGGCCGCCCCTTGGATGCCACCCAAGGGTCGAGGAGGACCGAGGACGACCGAGGAGGACGAGGAGGAGGAGGAGGAGGAGGAGGAGGAGGACGCTGCGATCTCACGAAGAGGAGAAGAAGGAGGAGGAGGAGGAGGAGGAGGACGAGTAGGATCGAGGAGGACCGCAAATGACGATCGAGGATTTTTTGACTTCGGTAAGCTTATGCCGAAGGCATGCGCTATTGGGGAGCAGTGGCTCGCAGGCGCCTGAGGCCTACAGACTGCCTGTACCGGGGTATGGGCCTCGCCCGTGGGTCCCTGGGGAAAGTGCCGGCCGACAGGGACAATAATGGAAAAACGAAGGAGGAGGACGAAGAGGATGGGGATCAACAGTGAGAAAGGTCCACCGTGTGTCGAAGACGCGGGTTTCGTCAAGTATCCTGAGCCATGAAAACAACAACGAATGGACCGACAGGCAACATGCCTCCGCCTTGGGGGAAGGCGAGATCAGCCACAAGCGAAACAGCAACCTCTTGCGCCGCAGTGGCGGCAGAGGTCAGCACCCCGAAATAGGAGGCTGATGGTGGAGAATATATAATACCGAGGGGGGAGGTCAAAATGGTGGGGCGTCCCAATGGGGCGTCCCGATGGAAAGGGGCACCACGGTGGCAGCCACCGCGGGATTCCACCTGGGGGGGGCGAGCGTCCTTTTAAAGGAGCAACGAACTTGCCAGAAAGGGCAAGGAACCCAAGGTAAGTGCCAGAAGATCGTGCCGTGGATGCGACATCGCCATGCAAAGCGAAGGTTGGCCAAAAGAGTGGCGCCGGACCACTTGCAACGAGGCTGGTCGAATAATTTGCCAAATATTTCCACATCGCTGCAAGATACAATACATAATGTGCACCCGCCTCATCCCCGCTCCCGGATGAGCCGGCGACGAAGGTTGAAACAGTTGATTGCGCACATCCCTTTGATCTAGGACTGAGCATGACCACTCTGAAGGCACCTCTGGTCCTGTCCGTCTCCAGCGTTTTGGCGTGTGGCTGGCTGGGTATCCTCATCAGGGCCTGCTACAACCAACCACACGGGGCAGGCCGACGCTGTCACGAACGACACTTCTGCTTCCGGCTGCGTGAAACATCCATGTGCGCAACACCCAAATCGCAAGAATATGTTAACCAAGCTCAGTGCGATGAACACGGACAGATGAGCTGCTTGCGTCACCCGAGAGCCTGGCTTTTTGGTCCTCAGAAATCGGAAGAAACAACTCGTCAGGGAATTTCTTGCGTGCCGAACAACACTGAGGGGGAGGAGCGAAATTCCCGCGAGTCAGCCCTGAAGAGGAAGTTCTCCTGTTTCGGACCACTTGAATAATTGCAATCCTCCTTTGGAGGCAAGCTATGGTCCGGGACTTGGGCGCATGAGTGAAAACGGGCAGTAGGCTACCACGAGGAGGTTGGTCACGAATCATTGGAAATAGCTTTCTCAGAGAGGCGTTTCCCTCCAGTCAGCCAGAGGTAGACGTCAAGCTCAAACGCCCAGATGGCACAGAGGAGGCAGGAAGAGTGACAAAATAGCGGGGGTACCTCCATGCTAGAAGTAGCAATTACGAGGTAAACGCGACAACTTATCCCTGAGAAGGGGTGCGAACTTGTCTGAGTAAACGGTGGAGAGATAGCGTGGCGTAAAAACATTATGGTCCGACGAAGGTGAAGAAGGGAGACAATGTTGCACTAACTCTTTGATTTGCCGACTTAGAAGTTTTGCGACAATCTTTGAAGTGTGGTCAGTCAAAAACTGCGAGCATCGATGCTCTAAGGACCTGTAACGCTGGCTCTTGGCAGAGTGCAAGTGGTAAGAGCTAGAAGGTTATTTGATCTCCACAAACAAGTGAGCTCCCCCCACACACAACACAGTCTTAACTGCCATGCGGTTCAAAAGGTCGCCAGGCAAACTGGTTGTAACCCACAAACTGGCATATGTCAACTTGTGAGTTGAACCATGGCCTAAAAGAGAGAGAGAGAGAGAGAGAGACAGACAGCGTGCGATTGTGCCAAACAATGGATTACCCACCTCCCTCTGCGCCGGCCGCAGGCCAGAGGAAACGCAAAACGATGCAACCCGACTGAAATGATATTAGTGGACAGTGTGGTTGCCTGAGTTCTTTCACGCAGTGCACCCCGGATGACACACCCACATCGCGAATCAAAAGGTCTCTAGGCAAGCTCGGGCACCACATAAGCTGATCGGCAATAAGTAACCTCATTCAATGAGCCGTGGTCTGAGCAACAAATCGACAATGCAGTTGCGACAGGAGGGAGGAGGGAGGACGAGGAGGAGGAGGAGGAGGAGGAAAGAGAGAGAGAGAGAGAGAGAGCGAAGGTGAGACCACAAACTACCAAATGAGGCCCAACTGCAAGGTTTCGTGCAGTGCTCCTTGGAGTTAGGGCCTCCACAACCAAGGACGCAAGATGGCACGGACTGAGTCCGCGCAGACTTGCCCCAACCATCCAATGCAACTCGAAAGATCGCCGCGATGATCCTTGGGGCAACCATCTTGGCCAACCTCTGGCCATGTTGTCAAAAAACGCCACATTCAGTGGCCACGTAGTGTTGTGCAAGTCCACCGATCCAACCAGCAACGCAAATGCACCAGCGCAGCGTGTTCAGGTGGATGTCCCACTATAGTCGTGACCAACATTCACGCTCACGACCTGGATGCTGGACATCAGTGAGCGCCGGGCCGACAGTCACGTGGGTGTCGAGCGCATTCAGAGCAGCATCCAACGAGAAGATCAACCATCCTTCAATCCAATCCGCGCAGCGAGCACGTCATAAGATGCTGTCACTGTCCGAAATCAGTCGCTTCAGGTTGGACGCTCGCGTGCGCACTCGAAGTCCACCCTCGCGGGTATTCTCATAAAGAGCGACATGGGCCCGCGCCGCGACTGCAGCGGCTTGCAGGTCAGGCAGCTCTCTTGGCAGACCCGAGTGCCGCAGCGACCTCATGAGCTGCGCGGCGAACCAGCCGAGGGGCCCAGGGAACAGCTGCTGCAAGGCTTTGGGCTCGAGGTCGTCGTACTTGATGGGTCGGGTGTCCGGTTGGGCCGGGAACAGCATGGAGGCGGAGGAGGAGGAGGAGGAGGAGGAGGAGGAGGAGGAGGAGGAGGAGGAGGAGGAGAGGAGGGAGGAGGAGGAGAGGAGGAGGAGGAGGAGGAGGAGGAGGAGGAGGAGGAGGAGGAGGAGGAGGGGGAGGGGGAGGGGGAGGGGAGGCAGGCATATGACGGAGGCGCGGAGCGCCCCAATGGTGTGCAGCAGGCCTGCGCTCGGAGCCCGCCATGCCGATCGCCAATCCAGAAGCTCAGCCGACGCGCTGGCCCAAGTAAGTCCACCCCGTCCTGGGCCAACGACGAAAAAAAGTAGGAGGGGGTGGAGGAGGAGGAGGAGGAGGAGGAGGAGGAGGAGGAGGAGCGTTCTTCGACGTGAGGGGGCCAGGTGCTTGGCGTGAAGCACAACCTTAAAAATGAGCACCAGAGCGGGGCTGCACTGGTGAGGCACGCCCTGGCTTCATCGACAGCAGGGCAGGGTGGCACGAGGACTGCCTTCCTTGTGCTCAAGGCGGGGCCTGAGATCCTTTCGGGCAGGAAAACAAAGGGTCCACGACCAAGACGTCGCGCCATAAGATAAGAGCTAGAGGATATAATGATGGCATCCGACCGAATCAGCGAAGCGCGGACCTCAGCACGCGTGCGTTCCGTCACCCTGGGGGCCGGGAGAGTGCTTGGCAGAAGAAGCCCGCGGACCTGGCGGTCTGTGCAGAAAAGCTGCAGGGGACGGCTGGGAAGGGCCAGACGCAGGTGCAGCAGAAGCCAGGGGTACCTCGGATTTGCCTGTCCGGAGAGAGGTGACTGGAACACCGGAGGCCAAGGAGGCAGCGCCGCCTTCGACATATGGGAGTAGGAGGAGGAGAGGAAGGTGAGCTCGTCTTTCGGGCGGAACTTCTCCACCGGTTCACTGTGCATCTCCTCAAACTTACTTGACTACGTCCTGCTTGTACGTAGTGACCGGCAGTTCGGCGTTGGCTGCGTGGCCCTCGTTGGTCTCGGTGTCGCCCTCGCAGGTCTTGGCAGCCTGCTTCTCGGGTCTTCGCGCCCGATGCAGCACTCAGCAGGCCTCTGGCGGGCCTGCGTCGTGCCGACCAGCGCCCGACCCGAGATGGAAGTGCCGCACCCCCTGTGACCCAGGTCCCTGAAAGCACGCAGCAACGGCTGCACCACCCTCGCCTCAGCTCGGCGGCCTTGCTGCCTCCGCCCAGCTGCAGTGCGCCGGGGCCGGCGGCGGCGGCCGTCCACCGCAGACCCTTCCGTTGAGCCCGGCCCGGGCGGGGGGGGAGGGGGGGGGGGGGGGGAGAGGGGGGGGGGGGAGGCGGGGCGGCGCGGGGGAGGAGGGGGGGAGGAGGGGGGGAGGAGGGGGGAGGAGGGGGGAGGAGAGGGGGGGAGGGGGGGGGGAGGGGGGGGGAGGCGGGGGGCGCGGGGGAGCCCCGATGGCGCTGTCTGGAGCGGGCGCTGCGGCACCAGCCAGCGGCCGCCACGCAGTCTGCCAGCGATGGGCACAGGGCAGCCCGGGCGAGCTGCACGGAGCCCGCCTCCCGCACCCCAGGGGGGGGGCGCAGCCCGGCCCGCCAGACATCTCGGCGTAGAGGAGGACAAGAAGCGGACAAGGAGGATAAGAAGGCGCAGGGGGGAATGTCACGGGGGGGCGATACAGATGATGGTGCTGCTGATGATGATCATGCTGCTGCTGATTATGATGATGATGATGATGGTGATGGTGATGCTGATGCTGATGGTGGTGGTGATGATGGTGTTGATGCTGATGACGACGATGTTGATGACTATGCTTATGATGATGCTGTTGACGATGACGATAATGATGATGCTGATGGTGATGATGCTGTTGATGAAGGATGATGGTGATACTGATGATTCTGTATGGGCTTATGGGCCATGCGTGGATCTATGTGTACATATGTATGTATGTATGTATATATATATATATATATATAGGAGTGTACATACCTGTGTACAATCATACATCTCTCTACCTTTCCATGCAGATGCCTAGATGTATGCCCATGGGTGCATGCATTTTTTGGGAGTGGGAAGATGGGAGCGTGCCCCGAGCAATCCGCTGCCCCTCAAGGGGGCTATCACCGTTACGGCGGTACCCTAGAGTGGCTGGCTGGGCTACCGTCACCACAACCAGGAGCAGGAGCGGAGGAGGAGAAGAAGGAGGAGGAGGAGAAGAAGGAGGAGGAGGAGGAGGAGGAAGGGGGGGAGAGAGCCAGAGAAGCAATTCAAAACACCTGGAGCAATGCAGGCCAACCTACCATTGGCAAGCCGTTTCGCGCAACCAAGGATTCGGGGCACATGTAAAACTCCATAATCATACAACCACCCGGGACCAAACTCCGCGAATGATACCAATGTGGGTATGCTGTGGTGGATCTATGCCGGTATGCATGAGGAGTATAACCATGAGGCGTAAGGTGAAGATGACAATGAAGCGGCAGTGGAGGTAGAGGCATGGTGAGGGGATGGGAAGGATGCGGATGATGCCGTGCAGGTGACAATACCAGGAGAAGAAGCTAACCAGGAGAAGGATGAGGAAGCAGAGGAGGAGGAGCTAAAGGAGGACGAGGGGAGGCAGACATATGATGATGCTGCTGATGATGATGACGATGATGATGACGATGCTGATGACGACGATGATGACGCTGATGATGATGACGATGCTGATGATGATGGTGAGTATGAGGAGGAGGAGGAGGTGGAGGAAGAGGAGGAGAAACAACAACAACAACAAACGGAAGAACAAACTGCAGGAGGAACTTCCTCCCTAACCCGCTCTAACCCCTTACCTCCTCCGCCCTTTCCTCCCGAATCGCCCTACCCGCCTCGCCCTGCCTGTGGTGCCAGACGACGCGCGGCACCTTCCTCCTTTTTTTCTGCCTCCGTCCCGGCCTCTTCCTGCGAAGGTACACGGGCGAAGGAGTAGGAGACGTATGAGGAGGATGAGGAAGCGTATGAGGAGGATGAGGAGGAGAACGAGGGGAAGGATGAGGAGGAGGAGACGTAGGAGGAGGAGGAGGAGGAGTAGGAGGAGTAGGAGGAGGAGGAGGAGGAAGAGAGGGGCGAGACAGGAGGAGAGAGTAGTGGCGGGGCCGCCGAGGCGGGCGCATCTCGTCGAGGCGGCTGCGCGAGGAGAGCATGGAGCGCACCGACCGCGCCCTGCCGACCAGTCCAAGGCCTCAGCGGCGCATGGGCGGCGCAGGAGCTCGTGAGGAGGAGTTCATGTGGAGGAGGAGGAGGAGGAGGAGGAGGAGGAGGAGGAGGAGGAGGAGGAGGAGCAGAGCAGACCCACTATGCACCAACGATGCTGCAATACGGCCTCCCGTCTCACGTCCTCCACCCGCAAGTTTCCACTGGCACCCCTTGCCACTGCATGGGGACGCTCTCCCGAGCACGCGGAGGCTCCGTGGGCCTGCCGTGCAGGCGGCGTTCGACGTCGAACGCTGGCGACTGGGTCGCCGCCTGACGCGAACCTACGATGCGAGGATGTCCAACGAGAACTCCGTTTTGAAAATGGAATGCGCTCCAGCCGTGGAAGCGATGCACACATTCAAACTCAACGCGCTATAAAACAAGCCCCGAACGAGATCATCACTTTAAACACGCACCGCCATCCATCTGTGAAAATGTTGCGCCATTTCGAACATCGGGTCATACATTTCGCGGAGGTCACATACAACAACTTAGTTCCAAAACAAATCGCCCTCCATCCGTGTAAGTGCTGCAAGCTTGTAGGAAAGAAAGTGAGCGGCGCCAAGGCGAGAGCCACATCTTCAAAAACTACTTGTTCCCATCCGTCTAACTGTTGGATTTGTGTAAGAGGAGCGTGCGCGGCACAAAAGCGAGAGCATCTTTACGAAACCGGCCTGGCCTCATTCCGTGTACATGCTTGACATCTTTCCGCCCTTCAGCCGTGTAACGGCTGGACATGTTTGAGACGAGTGTGCGCGGCGCCAGCGCGAGCGCCCCAATGTGAACACCATGTGTGCTACAACCACGTACTCGTGGGAGACCCTGGTATCCGAAATCATAAATTTTGAGGGGGCGTAGGCGAAAGGCCCCGCTCGCCCTAAAGACACGACTCGTGGTTCGACAGGGAGGAGCCATCTAAAAGAAGAAGGATGGTGACGGGGAGGAGCAGAAACCGGTCGAGGAGAGATGGAGGAAGGAATGATGAGGCATGATGATGCTGCTGCTGCTAATGATGATGATTGTGGTAATGGTGAGGAGGATGAGGAGGAGGACCAGTGTAAACCCAAAAGCCAAACGATGTTGGAAAGCACCCTCCCTCCAGGCTCCCTGTTCATAGGCCCCCGCAACGGCTAATTTCCATTGAGGGATCTGCCTCGTTGGAAGACAACCGTTTGAAGACCGGAAGCATGCCAAAACATTGTTCTCGGGAGTCCGACGCCACGGATTAACCTGACTATTGCGTCTTGACGATCCTGGATCGTGCCAGAACGCCATCCTTGGGACTTCAACACCGTCAACCAACGTAACTGTTGCACCCGCAAAATCCAGAATCCTTCCAAAACACAATTTCTGGTACGTTGATCGCTGGAATCCGTGAAACTCTTGCAAATGTTATGAATGAATGTACGCGGCGCTGAGGCGAGAACCACATCTTGAAAATGAACCGCCCTCAATCCGTGAAGCTTTTGCAAATGTTTAAAACGAATGTGCGCGGCGCTGAGGCGAGAACCACAATTTGAAAATGGGTTATCCTCAATCCGTGAAGCTCTTGCACATGTTTAGAAGAAATGTGCGCAACGCTAAGGCGAGAGCCACATTTTGAAAATGGGTGATCCTCAATTCGCGAGACTCTTGCACACATTTAGAACGAATGTGCGCGGCGCTAAGGCGGGAGCCACATTTTGAAAATGACCCGCCCTCCATCGGTGAAGCTGTTGACAATTTCTAAGCTTCAGAGTCATGCGTGGTTAAGACGTCTCAGGCGAAACGCCCGGCCCGCCCTCAAAACTGGCCTCGGGGTGCGACAGAGAGAAACGATTTAGAAGGAAAAGGAATGGAGGAGGAGGAGGGACGAGGAGGAGGGATGGGAGAAATAGTGGTGAGGAAGAGGGAGGGGGGATGAGAGATATGAGGGACGAAGATCGGGGGACTGTAAAGAGGTGGAGGAGGAAAACAAACAGGAAGAACAGGAGGCAGTATCAAGAGGAAGGGCGGAGGAGGGACGGGAATGAGGGGGGAGAACGGGGTAGAGCGCATGGAGGAGACGGAGGAACTGTGCGCTTGTTCTCGCAACGTCGCGCGTTGTGCGGCGCCCTCCGAGACGCCCTGCGCAGCCGCGGCTGGGTCTGCCAGTAGAGGAAAAGAGCGAAGAGGAGGAGGACGAGGAAAAGGAATGGTTGGAGGAGAAAAACACGACAAGGATGATGCTGATGAGGAGGAGAGGGAGAAGGAGGAGGAGGAGGAGGAGTGACACGAGGGGAACAAGAGGCGAAGGTGCGCCGCTGGCCTGCGTTCTGGAGGTCGGCCAACCGCTGGCGCGCGCCGTAGAGTTGCTGCTCCACCCGCCGCATCTCCGCGAGCTGCGTCTCGACCTTGAGCTCGTGAGCCCTGCGCCAGGCGGGGCCGATCGCGTTCGTTCTGCGTGCTCCTTCCTTCCACCCCCCCGTGTCGTTGCCGACACTGGTGTCGATGTCGACGCGGCCATCCCCACCCCCCCCCAGGGGCGGACGCCCCTGAAGGGGTGGGTGATCAAACGGTGCTCTGTTTGAAATAGCAGAAACGAGCATGATTGTCGGATGATTCCTAGGGACGGGATACTTCCCTGCGGCGCCAGGAACGAACGGACCAGACGGCGTGACGACCTTTTGGAGGCGGGTGGAAAAGAAGTGGC